AAAAAAAAAATATTTAACACAGAACTAATAATAAAAACCATAAAAGTTATTCACTTTCAAACACATGCAGTTTTAAAAACTGAACAAAGGCCAGTCCCAAACATGTTAATAATTTTAGCAATTTTCAGTCAGTCAGATAATCAATTAGAATTTTTTATATTATGCAATAATTTACATCTTAAATTAATCATTTTAATGTGTTTACTTCATAAAAAATATAAAGCTTTAAAAATACATTTTTAACATTTACATTTCATCACGTAATTATATATGTTAACATGTGCTTCACTTTGATGATTTTATAAGAAATTAAATAAAAATAATTTAAAATATGATTATTATTTAATATAAAAAATTATTATGTACATTATACAAAAATATTCTACTGGGAAATTCTTGCTAATAATGCCTTGTCAAAAGGCCTCTATCAAGAAAGTTTTTAATTAGATGCCAATAATCACAAAGCATGTAATGATAATTTATGTCATGGATATAAATTACTATCCCACTTTCTAAGAAAATTAACATTAATAATGTAATTTTAAAAACTGAATGATATAATTTTCAAAGAATTTAAATTAATGACATTCAAATTCTTAATAAAATAATACAAAAGAAAAATATTGTGTTATTTACCTGACATACATAAAACCCAATGCTCTTATAAAGGGAGAGTCACAATGAGTAATGAGACCAACAACTTGCTTTCTTGTTAACTTCAAAGTAAATAATTTATATAAAATACAAAATGCTGTTGAAACTATGCCACCAGCACCTACACCTCGTACCTAGAGAAAGATGAAAATATATTTTAATCTATTATATTATTTTAAATTAAACTTTATTATGAATAGAAATAAATTAAATCATTTATAAAAATAACAATATTAATAACATTAAAATTCTGACTGAATTCATAGAAGCTTAAACAAATTCAGATATATAGAATTAGTACCATAAATGGTTATTATATTATATTGATCAAATAACTACACTAAACAAATTTTTGCTGATATGGTTATTAGACTAATTTATTCACTTTTCTTTGTGTTAAAAATGATATAATTTACTTTATTAAAAAATTTCTAATCTTTGTTTCATTTAATTCAGATTTTATTCAAACACAGTTCAAATATAAACATCTATTAATCTGATTTTTAGATTAACACCAAACAATTGCAAGATTTCTCCAGGTTATAAAAATGTTACCATTTAATAATTAAATTCAGTAATTTGGCATAGAGGTAGGCATTAGATGCCATTTCTTGATAAATTTAGTAATTAATTAGAACAATTCTGTGCAATTAGGGTTCTGCTTCATGCCAATTTTTTTCTTCCAGAACCTTCTAGGTTCTGGAAGAAAAAAATTGGCATGAAGCAGAACTCAAACCCACAATTCCTGCTTTGCTATGTGGATGTGTTGTCAATTATGCTAACTGAACCTCCATCTGATCTTCACTTCCAGAACTATTAACTTAAATATAACAATACTACTGGGTTACTCAAGAGGACTGGAGATGACTTCACTCTGACATAGTATATATGCACATACGCATGCACCATAATGGGGTAAAGCAATAGTTGAGCACTAAAGATGAGAAGATATTACTTCTTGAAAACATTTGACAAAATAAAAAAGTCACCATTTCTATTTTTATAAATTTTTTTCAAATACAGTCAAACTTGATTATAATGAAGATGGATGTTATAAGTTTATGATTATAATAAGCAAAAGGCCATAACAATTTTAATTTATGTGTATTTCCATACATTTTCTCATGGTTATAACGAGCATACTTCAAGGATATACTGAGCAAATTTTCTGTAGCTATGCAAAAACATAAACATTGTTAATTGTTCAAGTAGTAGGAAATGTGGTACTGAATTCTTGGAATAGATAAAACTGAAAGGGTTACTTAATTTTATAACCTCATCGATTACAGGCCTATTTATCACTTGAATTTCTTTTTGGAAACTGTTCCCCCTCTTTCTTAACTAGCTTCCAGCCCTTCTCTGCCAATTTACCTAATCATCACTATGATTGTAAAATTATCTTATACTCTAGTTAGAAACAAACCCTTATTTGAGAAAAGGGTCTATGAAGAAAAGAAAATGTCTCTCAATTTACAAAAAAAGTAGAAATTATTCATGAGTTAGAACAGGGTGCGAAAATTGTCAAAGTGTATAGAAAATTTCCTTTGTCATCTTCAACAGTATTTGACGTTATCAAAAAATAAAGCAATCATCAATTTTAAGATTTATAGATAAAAAGACTAACTGAAATCAGACATATCAATTAGTATTATCTTTAATTATGAAAAAATAAATTGTTAAATATTAATTATATTGTAGTTTATATAACTATTAATAAAAATACAGTATAATATAATTACAGTAGAGCATTGTTTATCCAAAAGCCTATCAACCAAAATGTCAGTTAACCAAAAGCATTCCAGTCAAACTGTGTTGTGCTGAATCGAGCATTTTTGATACTAGATTAACTTCCAAAATATAATTTTTTTGTTTTTATATTTTTCAATACAGTGGTACCTCAGTATACATCTGCTTTAGAATACGTCCAATTCGGAATATGTCCTATTTGGACGAAACAAATTTTGCTCGGTATACGACTTAATTTAACTATACATGCCATCTATGACCAAATAGCACTTTTGGTGTACTAGGCCAGACTAAACGTTCGTGGTGCCACGGTTTATAACTTTGTTAAATTTCTTCTGATTTTAATTTGTAAGTAAAATTTTATTAGTTTTATTAATCATGAATTGCAAAAAGGCAAATGAAAAGAAACAGAAAACTAAAAAAAATGACTAGAATCACAACGGAACTGATAAAAGAGATTATTGAAAAATATGAAGGTGGCATGCGTGTTCAAGATTTAACTGTTGCATATTCCAAGAACAATGATATCAGCAATCGTGAAAAATAAAGACATTATTAAATCTGCTAACATTGTGAAAGAGGTTAGATCAATTTCTAAACAGAGATCGAAGACATTAGATCATGTGAGAAATTGCTTTTGCTTTGGATAACTGAAAAACAGTGTGCTGGCGACAATGTATCAGAACTGATANTCTGTTTATATAAACAAGTTATCATTATTAATTATTAAACTTTTACTTTTAATAATTAATAATAATAAATTCCCTAAAAGTTTTTCAATTGGGCATTTTAAGTTTAATAGATATGATAAATTAGTAAGCTTTGTTGATAAAACATTTAATTAGGCCCAATATTTTACTTCTCTACAGTTTATTTAAATGCTAATTTTAAAAATAACTACAAAGATTCATAAAAACACCATATTCTCATTGTTCTATTGATTCTTAATATCAGCTGAAGTAATCAAATTTGTTTAGATATAGTTTATTTGATCATTATCAACTTAATAACATAGATTAAACACTTTGAATATCTGAACATGAACAGGAAGAATTTAAATTTGAAATTTCAATTTTTTATAACAAATATTTTGGTTTACNGGATAAACGACGCTCTTCTGTACATATATATATTTTTAATATGATGATTCAATATATATATTTTGAATCAATTTATTTAAAATTAAAGATTAAAAAAATAGATTTTACTAATTATTGGTAATGTAGCTACAAATTTTGCTGCCTGCGGGGCATCTGCACCCAACGTAGTTGCCCACTCTTCCCTTAGTTATGTCACTTCTCTTCACAGATATAATGAGTAAATCTTGCCAGTCCCCTAATGTTCATTATAACCAAGTTCAACTGTATGTAATTAATAATAGATTATAATTTTTTATCGGGAGAGTCACAATGAGTAATGAGACCAACAACTTGCTNAGTATTTCATCTGTTGTATTTAAAATCAATAATGAAATTTATAATAAAAATTTTAAATGAACAGAAATAAAACACACCTCTTCATCATCCAAATATGGTTCAAACCAATCCCAAAGATCTCCAGGTGGCTGAGTATATCTGAAAGAATATATTCAAGTTTACTCACATGAAAAGTAAATCTAAATCTAATATTCAATGTATTATTACAATAAACATATATTCAGTGATAATCAATTAACCATAAACAATTACAGTATCATAATTAACTGAGACCCATTTAACTAAAATTCTGTATTATCTGAAGTTAATTAATTAAGAAAGAATGCTATCAAAATAGACAACAGGATGTATACAATACAGCTCACTTCATAAAGTCTGGCAATGTGCAATATTCAAAAGGAATTTTTTAAGTTATAAAAAAATATAAAATACTGATTTCTCATAATATAAATTTTGAAATAAAATTAAAGAAATTTTAATTGTAATAATAGATAACATAATATGAAAGATTATACAATAAAGAATCTTCTTATATCCTTTATCAAATGTAATAATAGATTTACATTTACTTAAATGAATACAATTATAAATAATATTTAAAATGTTTTATTGTATAATTTAAGTCATTATGTAGTAAATCTAATCTAACAATAATGTTCAATTTATTTAAAATTTATAAAAACACAGTAGACAATTCATAATCTATATATTTAAAAGAAAACAAGCCATTTAATTTACACACTTTCCATTGGTCAAATTCAGCAAATGAGGTCTCAAAATAAACCTCATGGCTCTTTATGTGCAGAAATTCAAAAAATTTGAATACATTTCAACTCAATCAAATTATTAACGCTTTCAGGAAGGCTCCTCTGCAAGATATGGGAATAATCTTTGATCCCCCTACAGAACTATTCCTATAACTTTTGACTTAAACATGTCTTCTTGTATTTCCTATGACTGTCATTCTTTTGTTAGTAGTATATTCCTGGCTCCATCTAAAGTTTTAACATGAAAATTTTTCATTATCAAATTTTTTTGTGACAAAAGATTCTCCTGCCATTTTTTTTATGATGTTATTACTATTATTATTAAATAATTTAATGCAATGTTCCACAACCTTTTTTTCTCGCGGCACACCTATGACTCGACATGACTCAACACAGCACACCAAAATGTTATTCCCCTCAAAAATGTATGATATGATACTATTAATAGAATTTCATAATGCCATAAACCTACTATTATTATTATGTTGAGTTTTTGTGAGTTACACTTGGTTGACACCAATGGCTGTGTACTATGCCGAACTAGAGTCAACACATAGTAACTTCAAAACAAGACAAAAATAAGTGTGTCAGTGTGTGTCTGCATTCAGGAATTTCCTAACAATATAACATATAAAATTGTAGACAAAACTGTCCAAAAAGGATCACCATTTATTACTTTTTATGTTCTAAGACTAACACATTTTTGGCGACTGACCTTTCTTTTTAGGCTACTTGTCACCAGAAAAATTACAAAAGGTCCTGTTAAAAACACAAAACACTTCCAATTAAAATTTCTAAAAATTTCTGAAAAAGGAACTGGTGACATACAGTTGTCTTGCTTACTTCCATCTATACCTTCTTTTGGGGGTTTCCTCTGCTTTTTATCTGCTAAAAATTGGCACTAGAATATGTAGATTTTTAAAAAAGCTGCCCCCTGGTGACGATACATGTAGAAATTTCTTCTGTAAAAGTTCGTCCGATGGAGAATTATTTCTAATAAAATTGTAGACAAAACTGTCCAAAAAGGTCTTGGAACATAAAAAGTAATAAATGGTGATCCTTTTTGGACAGTTTTGTCTACAGTTTTATTAGAAATAATTCTCCATTGGATGAACTTTTACAGAAATATAACATATATTCAATATAGTGGCCTTCTTTAGTGTGATGTATTCAATTTTAATGTTCCCAGGTTGGGGTATGACATTTGTAGAGAAGAGAACGACAGGTACAATAATCACCCTATCCATCCTCCACAGATGCCTTATTTCCTGGGCAAGTTCTGTGTACTTACTGACTTTTTCAGTACATGTGTTTTGTATATTGTGAGTGTTTGAAACAGATATGTCTATAATGTATGTGATTTTATTGTGTTTGTCAATGAGTGTGATGTCTACTCTGTTGTGGTAAATTATTTTATCTGTGATTATGGCTGTTGTAATACATTTTGTGCATGTTGTTTTCCAATACTATCTGTTGAACGTATTTGTAGTATGGTTTGTGTGTGTCTAATAATTTGTGTTTCTTTGCAAGCTCTTTGTCTTTGCTACTTGATTATGTCTATGTAAATTATCTGTCTGTGCCAAGAACTTGCAACCAGAAGTGATGGTCATCATGCCACATTATGCCAGAAACCATGTTGCATGGTTTCTGGCATGATGTGACATTTTCTGCATGTGTCATTTGTGATTGTTGTATCTTTGAGTTTTCTGTAGTTTTAGTATTTATGACCCGATCCTGTATGGCAATCATGAATCCTTCCGTCTCCCCAAAGAGACATACGCGAGCTAACCAGCTGTTTGATGCAGTTTTTTCAACAAAATCCTGGGCCAGGTCATAGGACGTATGCCATGGAATACCTTTCGCACCCATGATTGCTTAATTAATGGTGTCTATGCTATTTATATATTGTGTCGTGTCCATATAATGTGAGTGTAAGTTTAATGGTGTGTTATTTGAGTCTGCTAGAGTTACAGCTTTATGTAACTGTGATGTTTCTTGTTGAAAAACTCTCGCACTGTCTGTATTCGTTTGTAGTGGAAGTTAACTATGTCAATCAAGCCACGTCCGCCATCTCTATATGAAAGGGTTAATCTTTCTATGGCAGATCTAGGATAATATTGTTTATGCTTAGTGTTGTTCTTGTTTTCATTCGGAGTTGCTCAAGATCTGTGTGAGTCCAATGTATAACTCGAAAAGACTAAGTGAGTACTGGGACGACATATGTTCTTACTACTTTAACATCATCTTATTTCATTAGTGAATAAAGTACAATCATAAGAAACACAACAACTGTGATGAAAATATATAAATAAAACTTGAAATGAATAGAATATGTAAAAGTTCATGTCACACCTTTCACGTTGTGACAGCACACCAGTGTGCCGTAGGGCATACCGGTTGCAGAACATTGATTTAATGTTTAGTTCTTTTAAAATATAAATACAAATAAGCAAGAACATTACAATTATTGTGGTTTAATGCATTTTTTATGGAGTGCTAATTTGCATATTTAGGATGGTATATAAACAAAACCAAAAACTAAAATTCTGCTGCCCACATTGTCATAATTCTTTGATTCTTTGTCAGATGATAGAAAATAATCAATAAAATAAAAATATATAATTACCCAATCAGAACTGAGTTTGGATTTTTCAAGTGGTGTAATTATAAAAAAAGTCTAAAAAGTTGATTTTTGTGTTTATATTAAATTCAAATTATAAACAATAAAATCTACATCAACAAATTCTTACTTATTATATATTAAAAGCAAAAAAAAAAAATATTTAACACAGAACTAATAATAAAAACCATAAAAGTTATTCACTTTCAAACACATGCAGTTTTAAAAACTGAACAAAGGCCAGTCCCAAACATGTTAATAATTTTAGCAATTTTCAGTCAGTCAGATAATCAATTAGAATTTTTTATATTATGCAATAATTTACATCTTAAATTAATCATTTTAATGTGTTTACTTCATAAAAAATATAAAGCTTTAAAAATACATTTTTAACATTTACATTTCATCACGTAATTATATATGTTAACATGTGCTTCACTTTGATGATTTTATAAGAAATTAAATAAAAATAATTTAAAATATGATTATTATTTAATATAAAAAATTATTATGTACATTATACAAAAATATTCTACTGGGAAATTCTTGCTAATAATGCCTTGTCAAAAGGCCTCTATCAAGAAAGTTTTTAATTAGATGCCAATAATCACAAAGCATGTAATGATAATTTATGTCATGGATATAAATTACTATCCCACTTTCTAAGAAAATTAACATTAATAATGTAATTTTAAAAACTGAATGATATAATTTTCAAAGAATTTAAATTAATGACATTCAAATTCTTAATAAAATAATACAAAAGAAAAATATTGTGTTATTTACCTGACATACATAAAACCCAATGCTCTTATAAAGGGAGAGTCACAATGAGTAATGAGACCAACAACTTGCTTTCTTGTTAACTTCAAAGTAAATAATTTATATAAAATACAAAATGCTGTTGAAACTATGCCACCAGCACCTACACCTCGTACCTAGAGAAAGATGAAAATATATTTTAATCTATTATATTATTTTAAATTAAACTTTATTATGAATAGAAATAAATTAAATCATTTATAAAAATAACAATATTAATAACATTAAAATTCTGACTGAATTCATAGAAGCTTAAACAAATTCAGATATATAGAATTAGTACCATAAATGGTTATTATATTATATTGATCAAATAACTACACTAAACAAATTTTTGCTGATATGGTTATTAGACTAATTTATTCACTTTTCTTTGTGTTAAAAATGATATAATTTACTTTATTAAAAAATTTCTAATCTTTGTTTCATTTAATTCAGATTTTATTCAAACACAGTTCAAATATAAACATCTATTAATCTGATTTTTAGATTAACACCAAACAATTGCAAGATTTCTCCAGGTTATAAAAATGTTACCATTTAATAATTAAATTCAGTAATTTGGCATAGAGGTAGGCATTAGATGCCATTTCTTGATAAATTTAGTAATTAATTAGAACAATTCTGTGCAATTAGGGTTCTGCTTCATGCCAATTTTTTTCTTCCAGAACCTTCTAGGTTCTGGAAGAAAAAAATTGGCATGAAGCAGAACTCAAACCCACAATTCCTGCTTTGCTATGTGGATGTGTTGTCAATTATGCTAACTGAACCTCCATCTGATCTTCACTTCCAGAACTATTAACTTAAATATAACAATACTACTGGGTTACTCAAGAGGACTGGAGATGACTTCACTCTGACATAGTATATATGCACATACGCATGCACCATAATGGGGTAAAGCAATAGTTGAGCACTAAAGATGAGAAGATATTACTTCTTGAAAACATTTGACAAAATAAAAAAGTCACCATTTCTATTTTTATAAATTTTTTTCAAATACAGTCAAACTTGATTATAATGAAGATGGATGTTATAAGTTTATGATTATAATAAGCAAAAGGCCATAACAATTTTAATTTATGTGTATTTCCATACATTTTCTCATGGTTATAACGAGCATACTTCAAGGATATACTGAGCAAATTTTCTGTAGCTATGCAAAAACATAAACATTGTTAATTGTTCAAGTAGTAGGAAATGTGGTACTGAATTCTTGGAATAGATAAAACTGAAAGGGTTACTTAATTTTATAACCTCATCGATTACAGGCCTATTTATCACTTGAATTTCTTTTTGGAAACTGTTCCCCCTCTTTCTTAACTAGCTTCCAGCCCTTCTCTGCCAATTTACCTAATCATCACTATGATTGTAAAATTATCTTATACTCTAGTTAGAAACAAACCCTTATTTGAGAAAAGGGTCTATGAAGAAAAGAAAATGTCTCTCAATTTACAAAAAAAGTAGAAATTATTCATGAGTTAGAACAGGGTGCGAAAATTGTCAAAGTGTATAGAAAATTTCCTTTGTCATCTTCAACAGTATTTGACGTTATCAAAAAATAAAGCAATCATCAATTTTAAGATTTATAGATAAAAAGACTAACTGAAATCAGACATATCAATTAGTATTATCTTTAATTATGAAAAAATAAATTGTTAAATATTAATTATATTGTAGTTTATATAACTATTAATAAAAATACAGTATAATATAATTACAGTAGAGCATTGTTTATCCAAAAGCCTATCAACCAAAATGTCAGTTAACCAAAAGCATTCCAGTCAAACTGTGTTGTGCTGAATCGAGCATTTTTGATACTAGATTAACTTCCAAAATATAATTTTTTTGTTTTTATATTTTTCAATACAGTGGTACCTCAGTATACATCTGCTTTAGAATACGTCCAATTCGGAATATGTCCTATTTGGACGAAACAAATTTTGCTCGGTATACGACTTAATTTAACTATACATGCCATCTATGACCAAATAGCACTTTTGGTGTACTAGGCCAGACTAAACGTTCGTGGTGCCACGGTTTATAACTTTGTTAAATTTCTTCTGATTTTAATTTGTAAGTAAAATTTTATTAGTTTTATTAATCATGAATTGCAAAAAGGCAAATGAAAAGAAACAGAAAACTAAAAAAAATGACTAGAATCACAACGGAACTGATAAAAGAGATTATTGAAAAATATGAAGGTGGCATGCGTGTTCAAGATTTAACTGTTGCATATTCCAAGAACAATGATATCAGCAATCGTGAAAAATAAAGACATTATTAAATCTGCTAACATTGTGAAAGAGGTTAGATCAATTTCTAAACAGAGATCGAAGACATTAGATCATGTGAGAAATTGCTTTTGCTTTGGATAACTGAAAAACAGTGTGCTGGCGACAATGTATCAGAACTGATATTAAAAATCACTTGAAATGTGCAAAACATAAGGCAAACCTAGTAGCAACAGAAGCAATTCTTTGCGAGAAAGCTAAAAAGATATATGCTGATCTCATGAAAAATCAAGCAGGAACTAGCCAGGAAAGTGAGGTGTTTAAAGCCAGCCATTTTTTTTACATGAGAACGGATTAATCATTTTTACATTACTTCTTATGGGAAAGGTTTGTTTGGTATACGTCCTATTTGGTATAAGTCCAAACATCAGGAACGGATTAAGGTTGTATACTGAGGTTCCACTGTATATTTATTTTGTTTGTACAAAATAAAGAAATAATTTTTAACAATACAATAGCCATGATTATTACTTTAAAAAAATTTACATTAGGCTTAACATCAACGAAAATTCAACGCGAAGCGACATGCAATGAAGAAAAATTTCAACATGGGATACGTTAATATATTTTTTCATACGTAATCGGTTATACGAACAACCTTAGTCCCCAATTGATTTGGATAAACGACGCTCTTCTGTACATATATATATTTTTAATATGATGATTCAATATATATATTTTGAATCAATTTATTTAAAATTAAAGATTAAAAAAATAGATTTTACTAATTATTGGTAATGTAGCTACAAATTTTGCTGCCTGCGGGGCATCTGCACCCAACGTAGTTGCCCACTCTTCCCTTAGTTATGTCACTTCTCTTCACAGATATAATGAGTAAATCTTGCCAGTCCCCTAATGTTCATTATAACCAAGTTCAACTGTATGTAATTAATAATAGATTATAATTTTTTATCTACATGAAACTGTACAAAAACAACAGAAAGCAATTTTATGAGCTCCTTTGAAAATATGAGAACTAAAAATATTATTATTAAATATCAGTGTTAGAAATATCTTAATATTCTATATTATTTATGAAATAATAATAAATAATAAAAAATCTTATCAATAATTTCCATTCTTTTGCTAAGAAAGAAAGGAATTAAGTGTGTGCAATATTTTAAAATGTTTTGTAATTATAATTGTTCTACGGATTGAATAAATTTTAATAATAATATTAATAATACAGTAGACCCCCCTATAACGCGGAGATACGTTCCTCGTTATATGAATTTCGCGTTGTAGGAATCCTTAAATACATGAGCCAATCACAGCCCGACACATGTGAAGTTTATGGACTACAGCTGTTTGAAAGGTTTTCTTCCATAAAATTAATCGATTCTAGACTAATTCGATTCAACATTTCCAAAACACATATAATTTTTTGGGAATAATCCATATAAACTATGCTATAAACAAAAAATTGTAGGATTACTTACTGAGTGTGCACCATTCGACGTCGCCATTGCTTAAGCTTGTTTTCATCGCGAACCAGTGCACCAAACAGCGGCCGCGATTTCTGATAAATTATTTTTCTGCGAAAAATTAGTTGACCTTTGGAGACATCATTAATATAAATAATTTTTATGGCCATTGAATAAGAAATGTTTCTTTCACAAGAAATGTATAAAATTACAGTACTGGACAGACGATAGGTCGCCTAACTCGCCGTAGCGTGACGCTAGACGGCGAAAAATATATATTTAATTATAATAAAGTTACAATAAATTAAGTTAATATATAATTATATATACAGTACCTAATTTATATGTAATTAATATATAATTATATGTACAGTACCTAATTTATATATAATACTGTACAGACAATAGTTAACTCAATTTACCCACCTAAACTCTCCGCAGCGTGGCGCTGGACAGCGGAAAATAGTTCGGCTGCTCGTCCGCGATGACGTTTTACCGCGTTTTACGCATCCCTTTTAGCATCTTTATACGAATATTATCGTAATTTTTTCGCCGCGTTATAGGAATCTACATTATAGGAACTCGCGTTATAGGGGAGTCTACTGTAATAATATTTTTTTATAATGTAGCAATAATAATCACTTAAAGGATATAGGATATTACTATTAGAAACTAACAGGGAATACCTGTATTTTATAGAAAAGAAAAAAAGGAATCTCTTAATTTCCAAATATAAGTTGGAGATCTGTTCAAATAATATATCTAATTTTTCTTTCAGCTGCTATATCAAACATTGTAGCACCAATAATTGCACTAAAAAAATATACAATTATTGGTGAAACATTGGTAATTATTCAAAAGACCTGAACATTGATAACAGTGCTGTTTCTGTTACTGTAAAATGAATGTTAAATCCACTCTCAAATAAGAACCATACTGTATATGTCGATCAGTACTACACTAGTATTTCATTTACTGAAAATTTGATGGAATGAGCACTGGACTAGTAGGAATAATAATGAAATCCAGAAAGACTACCTAGGATCCTGAAAGAGGCAAAGTTAAAGAAGGGGGAGCAAAAATTCCACCACAGCCCAAACAGAAATGCCCTTGTTCGGATAAGTTATGGCAATGCTACTCTTGGGCGATTTGCCTAGGGGAATATCTTCCAGGAAATCTTTTTGGTAAACTGGCCCCTATTTAGGTGTTAAAGACATGGAGAAAACCTGGAAAACTCCACATGGCCAGCCCATCCGAACACTGTGTAAACCCAAGACTGAACTCCCAGTGTTTGGGGAATGAAGACCGCTTGGCCACTGGTGGACCAGAAATGTCTTAGCCCTACAACGGAAGGACAAGAGGAATAGGTGAATCAGTACACATTCACAAAAAAAAAAAATGCAACAGTTTCTACAAGAAGACAGAACACACTCAAACAGACATCAGTTGCTGTTGTAATCACAACAAGCACAAGATAGGAGATGATCTCTCTGACTAGTGGTTGTCTTTTAGTGCTTTTGCCTACAAAACTGAAATCATGGAAGAAACTAGATTTTCACCTAATAATAATTGGGGATGTCCTGACACTACTGATACTTTCCTTCAACACAGTACTTTTTGTACTTTTCCTACAGTATTAGATCCAGTATCGTTACATTTTTCACAGACAGGCAAGAATCTGACTGAAATTGGATTTTGCAGCCAAATCAGCAACCAAAATGAAATTTTATACCATTTTTGGTTAAGATAAGCTTATATAAAAAATATTTATAACCAAAAATTAATAAAAATGTATTAGGCCAAATTTCATTTCCAGAATCTATATGCTTAGAGTTCTGATTACTACAGTATTTATAAATATTTAGTTAAACATTATGCAGTACTTTTGTTTGTTAATCAACTCAGATCATCAGTGATGTTTAAAATGAGCTACAATTTGTATGTACTTTTTATCGAGTGAAGTTTTCACAATTATATCCTACACAATACATCCACAATACATTATATCCTTCTGCCACTTTCTAACTGACAGTTTCGATTAGAAAGTGGGAAAAGACTATAATGACCATTAGTCATATTGAACATTAAAACTTTACTTAATAAAAGTTTTTATAAACCATCTCAAATATAAAACAATTTTTATGTTTCTATTGGGCTGTAATTAGAAAAATTGTAGACCTACAAACTCCCACTGTTGTCTGTCCGTTACATCTTTCCTTAATCTCAAGAATGGAGTTAGATGAAATCCAAGACCAGATATGGAAAACTTAGGGGCAAGAGGCCCCGATTAACTATTACAATATGACCAACTTTTGTGTATATAAGATCTACTTTATCTTAAAAATGTGTTGTGATCAACTTCTTGTTGTAGGCATAGTGTAACTGGTGAAAGAAAGTGTGAAATATGTTTAGATAAATAAGAAAAACCACAATTTAATTTAAAACATGAAGAAAAATTGAAACTCAACGTAGTCACTTCCAGAAACCACCACTTCACCCTTCTTCTCTCTACTGTGTCCCGACCTATTCTCTCTGCCCCTTTTTCCCACCTTTCTTTTTTTTGGTTTTATGATCCTTTGTCTACATTTCTTATCCCCCTTTTACAACTGTATGCAAATGGATTGCACATGGACCAACAAAACCTCATCTGAGGAAGAATGCAGAGGTCCGATATCAATACAGCTGCGTTTGCGTGTTACATTCACGCGTTGCGTTCGGTTACAAATGTAACACATTAAGTCAAGACATCACAAGCGATTGGCCAAAATTGGCTTCGCAATCGACCGGTTGATTGTAATCAATTTGCTGGCCCTCCCTGTTATATACAAACTTCTGATGCAAACCAGAAGTCAATGTTATTTCAATTAAAAATGTTTCTTCTGAAAATGGTTAATAGATGACCAGACCAACTCTATTGTTAAAGGAAAAGTATCTTGTCAAAGATCTTGTTGTGGCTCAAGTGAATGAATTCAAAAATTTGTTAACTCATGATGATGATGATGATGATGATGATGATGATGATGATGATGATATTTGTTCAGCACATTGAATCATTTGCCAAAACTCAATTAGTGTTAAATACATTGAAATTAAAACATTTACGAGACATACCAATTGCAAGAAGCATTAAAAAAGAAGTGAATGGAAACTGCTTCATTGGCTGGGGCGATGACCTGAGGGAGAGGGTACTCTCCCTCAGGTCATCGCCCCAGCCAATGAAGCAGTTTCCAAAAATGGTGACCCTAGATGACCTGATGGGATAGTTCTTTGAATAAAAGGAATTAGCTGTAATTTCTTTGGGGATAGTGTTGCAATATTAACTTTATCTGAAATAAGATTACAAATTTATTTTGTAGTACACAATAAAAGCATGCATATCCACATATAAATAGAAAATTTTCAGATTTCTTTTGAAAAATTGATTCTGGATTTCCCAATCATTTTCCATTCTTAAGCTTGATGTTTATTAATTAATAAATGTACTGTGTTCATATAATGTAAATCAATTTTTCTAAACAAAAATAAACTTTAGAAACTATTCAAAAGAATTGGAGTCAGGAGTTTTGGCGGAATCAGAATTGGAAGAAATTGTGGTATTGTCCCATTACTACTTAAAACCTGACTTAAGCTAACTAAAGATGCTTTAAATATTTTGCATAATCAATGTGGCCTCTCACTTAGTATTAAACTAGCTCACAAATTACTTATATTGACTATATTCCATCACATCATAAAATCATCTAAAAAAATAAAATTTCTGTAATATTGCCTCAACTTATACCAAACATAGACTGTATTAATAAAAGTTATTAGAAGTTAGTCAAGACAGTAAAAGTGCTTATATATATAACAATTATTAATAATAAGTAATAATTGCAAATTTTAAATAAATAAAATGATATTTACCCCTCCACACATTCCAGTTTGCCCTGAAGTTTTACGACTTCCTTTTTCCCATGGTTCCAGATGATTTACCTAAAGTTTCAAAAATATTTTAAAAATTCCAATTTAATTGAATTTCAGTATACGATATTTACTCGGATATAAGACAACCTCAAATATAGGACGAGGTGTGACTTTAAAGGTCAAAATAAAGAAAATTAAATTTAGTAATACAGTTACAATTTTATTTCGTGTAACCACAAGTAAAATATCAAATGAACATAAATGCACACATTGTCCCACAAACATTACTAGCATTTTAAACTTTAATGAAAAATCTTGTAAAATCAACATAATTTGTTCATGTAAAGCTGGACAATTGGGAACCTTTTCTTTCACTAATTTTAACAATCGAATCCGCTCTCTGTCAATTACACTTAAGAGTTTCTCCAAATTTGATTTCCGAATAATCATCTATTTTCATATGGGAATAGATTAAATCTTATATTGGACTCCCAAGTGATTTTGGAATTTCGATCTGGAATTCAATTCATAAGCTTTGCTTCTCCTATTGCTATTCATCTTTACTTCCGATAATACACAAGAACGATTCAAACAACCCAGATAAAACACTTATGTTTTTAAATACCAGAGGGTAAGCATTCAGTAAAAAAGGCAAATACACGGTTCACAAAAATTATTTGCAAAAACACAATCTTTTGCTTACACGTATAAGATAACCTAGAAATTTGAAGCTGTGATAAATGAATAAAAGCCTTGTCTTATATCCAAGTAAATACGGTGTATTAAAATAAATACAATTAAAAATAACTAATATATCAATCAATCAAAAATAAAAGCAAAATAATCTTATATGATTCAGAATCATATATGATGACATACAAGTGAATATTTCTCCAGAACATTTACTTGGCAACATTAAGATAAAAGCTGTGTAATTAACAGTTTTAGCAATAAAATTACATAAATAATACTGTTTAACCTTTTAAATCAAATACAGTTGGGAATCATGTATCCAAAATGCTTGGGAGTGAAAGTGTTTTGAATTTTAGTATATTTACAATTTGCATCTATAAAATGGGACCACTTTAAGATGACTGATTTAACTTCTTTATGTCCCTTATTTAGGGATTTTTATTAATTTTCCATAAAAACAAACAATTTTCATACATACACGAATATAAACAAACAACATTTATTAATATTATAGCTGTTATTAGCCTGATAGCATATGGCAGTGGTTGGCTTTGTTAATACATGAATCTGTCTTCTTAAACTACCAACTATAGTTTTGTGAAAATATTTTGAAAAGATATTCACACAGATGTGTTAAAATAATTTTAGATACATTCACAGAAAGGTGTTAATTAATCTGTTCCAAAAAAATATGTTTAGTTTGAGGAATTTTCCATTTGAGGCACCTTATTTCAGCACTCAAAAATGTTCATATTTTGGAATTTCAGATACAGGATTCTCAACATGTATAATCATTCACTATATTTATTGGTACAGAGCATCAATTTATACAGAAATATGGAATATAAATATAATTTTAAAAAAGTAATAAAATACATTGATTATATAAGTCAGTCAGTAATCAGTATTTTGATTTTTACTAACCAAGTAAATACACTACCGTGTTTCCCCGAAAATAAGACAGTGTCTTATATTAATTTTTGCTCTAAAAAATGCACTAGGTCTTATTTTCAGGGGGATGTCTTATATTTCCATGAAGACGAATTCACATTTATTGTTGAACAATACGCTAAACAGGTTCGAGAGAACACCTTGCAACACATTCAACTTAACCTTTTTATAGTGTCCACATCGAGCTCGATGACCAATTAGTGCTTACTGAACCGTAGCACTATGCAAATGTGATGTGGCGTGATTCCCAGCCGACCAATTAGCGATCACCAGCGATAACATTATGCAAATCTGTGATTCCCAAGCCATAGTCTTATGCAAATCATGCCGTGTGGCGTAATTGTCTGCTGACCAATCAGTGGCTGTACTTTCAACCATCTGTCGATGACCGTTACGACTAAAAAAAACTTCGCTAGGTCTTACTTTCAGGGGGAGGTCTTATATTTAAAAATTAAGCAAAATCTGTGCTAGGTCTTATTTTCTGCGGATGTCTTATTTTCGGGGAAACACGGTATATCAAATAATCAAATATATAAGTACTTATCAGTTCTACCCAGCATATTGCACTGTATTGATTTATGTCAGATTTGAAAATGTTTGATATTCAAAATTTCAAAATCAGATTTTATTTAAAAATGATCAAAATTAATTTATTGCAATATTACAATTAAGAACTTTTTACAATAATGCTACAATGAAGCACAGTATTAAAAAAAAATTAAAATTTAATTCAAAACTAATCAAAACAATTAAGTAACAAAGAGTATGTAATATTTTAGGTTGTGTTATATTAAAATATTTACTATTTGAAAGGCAATTTAAATGATTGCTACTTAAATTCCTTCACTTAGAAAAACAATCCACATTTAACACTTGCAGGTAAAACTTATGTGACAACAATTGCTCAAGATTACAAAATTCAAATCTTAAAGAAATGACAAAACTAATATTTGATCTGTGTATTCGTGTGTTACTCTTCATAACAAAACTACACCTACAAATTGCTTTGTTACAATTTCAACTTGGCTTTTAACACACACAGAACTACTACACTTTATTATATTCTTTAAAAAATGTTGATAATTAATATACCTTCCTGCAGAACACAATCGTCATCTTCATTCTTAGGCTTGTTCACACAATCATTATTTGCCAAATGTCAAATATTTGCCTTCAACTAAAGTATTTTCTAAACTGTTTGTCACTTGGCAAGCATGCAGACATGCACACGATTATTTGCTGAGCATTGGTTCATTGTGGTAAGGATGAATGTTCCTTCAAGGTCTAGAAAATGGACAATTCTCAAACAATAATTTGTGCTACGGTTTTTACAGTTATGACTAGTTCATATCTATTAATGAAGAGAAAAAAGTCTAAAAGATGATGATGAAGGATTATATCACTTCACTAAAATATAAAAATATAAACATGAAAAAAAAAAGAAATTTTAAAAAACAGCTTGCAAAAAACATCCAGTTAAAACTACAGAAAAAATAAACTAAATATTTAAACTATAAACCAAATTATAAAATAAAAGACTAGATCTAGTTTAAAAAAAGACTAAATTACAAAAGATGACCAAAAACAAGAAAATATACAAATGCAAGCAGGAATATGAGGATGGACAACACAATTCACGGAGGCAAATTTTCATCTTTGATTCAGCACTATATACCAGCAAGAATTGGGAAATGGCAAATACTGAATATTCATCATGAGTAAACCATCCACACTATTTGGTATTTACCAAATGTTTGCTTGGCATTCAGTGAATAGTAAACATATGGACACAACCTTATACAAATTGCAAATAGTGAGCAAATACATCATCTTCCTCAACAGTACTGTACTGTACATCTAATCCGAAATGCTGAATTGATGGATAAATTTGCATATAAAAGGAGGGTTATTTGCAAAATAAATCTTTTTAAAAAATAATTAATTTTAATATTAAATATGAAAATAAAATATATTTTCATTAAACAATTCTTATTTAAAATTTAATTTTTTAATACTTTTTGGTTATCCGTTTTTTCAGTTATCCGACCAACCCTAGTCCCCAATTGAGTCGGATAATCGATGCTCTACTGTACTTTATATTTACTGTACTTAGCAATTTCAGCATTTAATCTATTGTTATATAATCCTTTAGAAATTTCATATTTGTGTTAATTTTAAATGCTTTTTTCTCTTTTCAAGTTCTAAAGTTTTGAACATCTTTTATTATTGAAAATATTTAGTTGTAATCAAAATAATCTGATACCTTTTGCAAAATAGTTTATTTAAACTATAATTTCATGATAATATAAATTTAGTAACTCAGTTATCCATACAATGAAAGAGATAAATGTAGGAATTCAAGATCAAATAAATTAATACACAGTATATACTTTTCATATACTTTTTGTTTAAGATGCTAGCCATATCCACATAACAATAAAATTCAATGTTTATTTTATTTTTGAAAATTATTCATTTCAAATATTTTAGTTTGATACCTATTTTGTATAAAAGAAAAAGTAAATTTAATAGATAACAAAAAAATAATAAATAAAAAAAAACATGAAATATACAAGTATATTTAAAAATTCTTTCAATTTTAAAAATTACATAAACTAAGAATTAATATCATTATTATAAAATTATTAAATATCTCCACTAAAATCTTTAAATTAAATTATTTTTGCTGGTATAGTTTAAATATGTTATGACAAACGTTTTCCATCCCCTTAGGATCTGCATCAGGTCGATAAAATTAGAATGCTGAACGCTAAATATTTAAATTAAATTATTTTTGCTGGTATAGTTTAAAGGTTTTCGTAGAGTTATTTAATAGTCTATTACCAGCTTAGAAAAATTCAGTATTATAAATTTATGTTAATTTTAAAATACTTACATTAAAATATATTTCATCAATAACTTCATGATATGTTTTAAGCTGATACAAATTTACCTTGAAATAATGTGATGATAAAATATTAGTAAGAATTAGATTATTTAAATTCATGGTTTTTTCATTTCCCCACAATGGTAAACTATTATTCTTTTTTTCAGCTATTCCAGGAGCCATTGTTTCCTAAAAACAAAAAATTAACTGCTTTTTATTTGTACAAGTAAAAATATCCAAAATATTTATTTTATTGTTATATTATATTTAGAAAGCTTAAAAATTTAAAATAAATGCTAATANCGAGATATCGCAATTTTAATAATTATATTTAAAATATTCAGATTTTCCGCTGCACCGCGTTAATCACTTTTGATTCATTTCTGAACACGGGGTAAAACTGATGGGCCATAAGTATAATTTAGATAAGAATGGTAACCACATTTATAATGGATTAGTGTCCTGCACCTGGCATGTTGACGATCTGACTCTCAAATTCTGAGAAATGGTGGAGACGCCCGGACAGGGATCAAACGAATTAATTATTAAGACCTACTTGGCCATTTGTCATGTGTGCGTAATAGTCTTCTGTCCCCGTCTCTTTAGTCTTTGGTCAGAGTGGATACAGAACAAAGCACGTGGTAGTCTAGCTTGCCTTATCTCAAACATGATTTGTTGCGGGCCTCAGAATTTTCGGCACAATGAGACATTGTTTTGCAGAGTGAACAGTATGGCGCCGGGCATTAAACGCAAGGTCAATCGCGAGAATCATCAGTTTCAAGAAGTGGAAGTGTGGACTAACAAGTACTGTTTTGTGCAACAGAACAACAGCATTATTTGCCTTTTGTGCAATGGAACAATAGCAGTGCCAAAAGAATTCAACCTGAAGCGACATCATGAAAGCCAACACAAGGATTTCCTTCTGCAAGGTACGGAACGCAAACGGAAAATCGAATCGTTACGACGATCACTAATCAGCCAACAAAATGTGTTCAAGAAACAATCTGGAGAATTGGATGCGGCTGTTGAAGCCAGCCTAGAAATATCTGCTTTAATAGCCAAGAATGGGAAACCTTTCACAGATGGCGATATGATAAAAAAGTGTCTTATCATCGCAAGTGAGAAGATGTGTCCTGAGAAGACAAAGTGTTTTCAAACAATCAGTCTTAACCGCATGACGATACAACGGAGAATCTCGCAAATTGCATCAGACATTTCTGGCCAACTTAATATTTTAGTTGCAAACTGTGCTTATTTTTCTTTGGCTGTGGACGAATCCACTGACATATCATCAACAGCACAAGTGATTGTGTTTATTAGAAGTGTTTCACTAGATTTTATTGTGAATGAAGAATTTCTTGGCATGGCATCACTTTCCGGACATACAACTGGTGCTGACTTACTTACTGGTTTATTGAGCGTTTGCAACAAATCAGCACTGGACTTTGACAAGCTATCCAGCATTGCCACTGATGGAGCACCATCTATGGTTGGATGTGAGAATGGCATGGTCACCTTGCTGAAAAACCACCTTGGGGACAGGCAAAAGGAGTTAGTCCAGTATCATTGCATAATTCACCAACAGCAACTTTGTGCAAAGAAGCTGGGATTTGAACGTCTGCTGAAAGATGTCTATGATACTGTGAACTTAATCCGCCGTCATGGACTCAACCATCGACTCTTCACATCATTTCTTGAAGAAATAGATGCTGATTATGCTGACCTGCCCACGTATACTGAAGTTCGTTGGCTGAGCAAGGCAACAGTCCTCAAGAGATTTGTGGAGCTATTGGGGCCTATTATCACTTTCCTCAAAGAACGGGGGAACACTACAAGGAATTTGGAGGGACAAAGATGGCAGTGTGATTTAGCTTTCCTTGCTGACATTACTGCTTATCTAAACGACCTTAATTTGAGATTGCAGGGAAAGATGCAACTTGTTTCTCAGTTGACAAGTAACATCAATGCATTTATGACCAAACTATCACTTTTCAAGTCCCACATGCAATCAGAGAACTTTACACACTTTCCACATTGCAAGGCCATGAAAGAGAAATACCCACATATGAAGATGGATTACTCTGACCAAGTTAACACCCTCCTTACATCATTCAATGAGAGGTTTGGTGAATTCCAGAAATACAAGATCTACCTGCAACTTTTTTCAACTCCATTTGATGTGAAAGTGGAAGATGCCCCTCCAGATGTCCAACTTGAGTTGATAGACATCCAGTGCAGTGATGAATTGAAATCACAGTTCAAAAATTCTAATCTCCTCACATTCTACAAAGAACTGCCAGATACATCATTTCCAAAACTGAAAGACAATGCTCGATTTTGTGCAAGCATGTTTGGCAGTACCTATGTATGCGAACAAGCGTTTTCGCTTATGAATTTAAACAAGTGCAAAACACGGAACAGGTTAACCAAAGAGAATTTGGAAAATCTGCTGGTTGTTTCAACATCTGCCATTACACCAGACATCAAGAAGATTGCCGCCAGCATCCAATCTCAGCCATCGCATTAATCGCTTGGAGATCCGGCCCCCAGTCAGTAAACTTAATCCTAATTTGGCCCTTCTTCACAAAAGGTTGTGCATCCCTGATAATGTAATTACACAGTAAGCTGCACTGTTTCATAAACAATGTGACAGCATAAGCATAAATGTGACAACCCAATGAGTGCTGCGTAACATTGGAATGCAACATGCAAGGGTAAAACTAATAAAATACCAATATTTCTTTAAACTGAATAAAAGTTTTCTATTGTTTCTGAAAATATCACTTTACTAACATTATGATCTCAGAATTAGAATACTCCCAAGCCTAAAATCCAGTTAGAAGAATGAAAACATTTAATGAACAACAAGAATGTTTTAGGTTTGGGAGTATTCTAGTATTATATATATCCAGTTCAGGATAGGGATTCTGATCTCAGAATTCAAATGAAGTTATTTATTTATAGAAATCATTCCATATTATCTAATAATTCTCATAAGATATCTTTCAAAACTATATAATTAATATTAAATAAATACTTGTACTTCATATTAAAGATCTATAATTTAAAATAAAGTCTAAATGTATCAAGCATTACAAAGGTTAATTATTCATATCTTTTCTAATAATGTTGCTGTTTTGACTTTTATGCTAATTCATTATGATTATATATATTATAAATGTAATTATCAACTATAAAATAATAATAAATGACAGAAATTAAGCATGAAATAATTTAAATTATATTCTCAAATATCTAAAGAAAAGAATAAAATTTGATTAACAAAAAGACATCAATGTCCTGATGTCACAGATCTTGATGAAACTTTTTTGGGTTATTCTATAATACTAACATACACACCATGTAAAAGCATTTTTCATACCATCTTTTTGTTTTGAAGACAGAAGACTACAATTTGCCTGCAGCATGTAAGTCAAACATGTAGACAATTCAACAAGTACAGTACTTTGGTAGCACTGTGGCAAAGTCACCCTACTGGCTATTTTATGATATATTTTTGTCTTGTTTTTTATTTGTTTATTTTTCATTACAACTAATTTAATTTAATAACATTAAACTAAAATAATTTTATATTTCAGTAAAAATATAAAAAGTTAATTTTTATATTTCATCATCATCAAGTGCAATGATTGTCTTATAATCTTGTCAAATTTTATGAAAGTATTCTTTTATGTATTATTTTTCCTATTTACACAGAAAATGGCCTTTGCAGCTGATAAAAAATAACAACCTTTGAATTTTTGGGCTGCAATTTGAAAAAATTGTAGAGCTATAAATTCCCACTGTTGTCTGTCCATCTTTCCTTAATCTCAAGAATGGAGTTAGATAGATGAAATCCAAGACCAGATATGGAAATCTTAGGGGCAGAAGGCCTGATTAACTATATACAAACTTCTGATGCAAACCAGAAGTCCCATTATTTCAATTCAACACTTTTCCCCTGAAAGCAGTTAATAGATGACCAGCACAACTCTATTGTTAAAGGAAAAGTACAATGTACAGGAACAAGTCACTACTAATAATTTGAGGTGGAGAGCATATGTTTTAAATTAAATAAATTAAAAATTGCAGCCCAGCACAGCATTGTGACAATGTCACAATAAATAACTACTCATTTATTTAACTAATAACTGACCGCGTTCTAGTCGGCAAATTCAAATGTCCGCTGGTGATGCGGCACTATAATATTTGTCTACGTCTTGGCTACTTTAATATTATTTTTGTTAAATTTTGTGTGTTTTAGCTGGCAACACTGGCTCCACCATGAAAGGGATGCCAGTATTTAATCGAGGCTTAATTTTCTAATTATGTGTGGTTGTTTGTTTTGTGAGCAATAAAATAATTTAAAAATAATTTTTGACGATTATTATTTTAAAAAAATTTTGTTAGGCTGAACATCGATGAAAATTCAACGCGAAGCAGGTTAATAGCGATATACTAATATGCTAATTACATGAGATATAATAATATACTATATTAATAATGTATTTTTTCATACTTTTTGGTTATCCGTTTTTTCAGTTATCCGACCAACCCTAGTCCCCAATTGAGTCGGATAATCGATGCTCTACTGTACTTTATATTTACTGTACTTAGCAATTTCAGCATTTAATCTATTGTTATATAATCCTTTAGAAATTTCATATTTGTGTTAATTTTAAATGCTTTTTTCTCTTTTCAAGTTCTAAAGTTTTGAACATCTTTTATTATTGAAAATATTTAGTTGTAATCAAAATAATCTGATACCTTTTGCAAAATAGTTTATTTAAACTATAATTTCATGATAATATAAATTTAGTAACTCAGTTATCCATACAATGAAAGAGATAAATGTAGGAATTCAAGATCAAATAAATTAATACACAGTATATACTTTTCATATACTTTTTGTTTAAGATGCTAGCCATATCCACATAACAATAAAATTCAATGTTTATTTTATTTTTGAAAATTATTCATTTCAAATATTTTAGTTTGATACCTATTTTGTATAAAAGAAAAAGTAAATTTAATAGATAACAAAAAAATAATAAATAAAAAAAAACATGAAATATACAAGTATATTTAAAAATTCTTTCAATTTTAAAAATTACATAAACTAAGAATTAATATCATTATTATAAAATTATTAAATATCTCCACTAAAATCTTTAAATTAAATTATT